CTTTATAATTGTCTTCACCTTTTTCTACGCCTGTCTTACACCTCCTACCTCTCTACACCTCTCCAATCACCCCCACACCTCTCAATCACCCCACCTCTCCAATCACCCCTACACCTCTCCAATCACCCCTACACCTCTCCAATCACCCCCCACACCTCTCCAATCACCCCTACACCTCTGAGCAAGGGTTCATGTCTACTTGTGAAATGGCTTTAAATTGACTGAACGTCTTCAAGTTGACTGAACGAGAGTAAAGATTCTTGTAAAACATCTTCAGGTGACTCCAAGATAATTCTGAAGTGATTGGAAAGGTTTAAGGCGATTTTAAAGGGATTGTAGGTGATTGTCAGGCATCTTAAGGTAAAATTGGAGGTGATTGTCAGGTATCTTAAGGTAAAATTGGAGGTGATTGTCAGGTATCTTAAGGTAAATTAGGTGATTGTCAGGTATCTTAAAGTAAAATTGGAGGTGATTGTCAGGCATCTTAAGGTAAAATTGGAGGTGATTGTCAGGTATCTTAAGGTAAATTGGAGGTGATTGCAGGCATCTTAAGTTAAATTGGAGGTGATTCTCAGCCATCTTAAAGTAAAATTGGAGGTGATTCTCAGTCATCTTAAGGTAAATTGGAGGTGATTGTCAGGTATCTTAAGGTAAAATTGGAGGTGATTGCAGGCATCTTAAGGTTAAATTGGAGGTGATTGTCAGGCATCTTAAGGTAAAATTGGAGGTGATTGTCAGGCATCTTAAGGTAAAATTAAGGAAGTTTAAAGAGATTGAAAAATTTGGCTGTTTAAATCTGAAAATTCTTAAAGTGGAAGGGAGATAAAGGGGTAGGGGGGAAGGGAGGAAAGAGGAAAGGGAAGGAAATCAGATGAGGAAGCAGACAAAGGGGAGGGGACGAGAAGGGAGGAGAGAGAGAAGAAAGGGTGAGGTAAAGAGATGAGAGAAAATGAATTTGAAGTGTTTGGAAAGACTTAAGTGATTTTGATATGATTTAAAGGGCAGTGTAATAGAGGTAGTTTAAAGGGACTGTAGTTATAACAATTTCCAGTCCTATTAGACCTCAGTGATATTAGACCTCAATCACAATAGCCCTCAGTCCTAACCTGACCTAACCTAACCTAACCTAACCTAAGCTGGAACCCATTAGAACTGAAACCTATTATGCTGGAACCCATTAGGACTGGAGCCCATTAGGACTAGAACCCATTAGAACTGGAACCCATTAAGCTAGAATCCATTAGCAAGATTATACCTCGCAACTCTGAGACCAACAGATGGATAGTACTAATGACATTTGTTTAGCATACAATTCTTATCTGTCTGTCTGTCTGTCTGTACTCTGGACCTTAACTGCCAGGAAATTGAGTTATCCCGTGGCGCGCTATAGTGGTGTCCGGGTATTGATGAATGGTTAATGGTGAATGGTTAATGGTGTTGTGGTAGTGGTGTTGTGGTAGTGGTGTTCTGATAATGGTTAAGTTAGGTTAGGTTACTTGTTTAGAATTACACACACACACACACACACACACACACACACACACACACACACACACACGCACACACACACACACACACACACACACACCATTACTAAGCTAACCCACGACACGGAAATCGTCTCAAACTCCTTCACACAACAGGACTGCCATTGGCGACCAGCAGAGCCTGAGGTGATGGAGGAGGGAAGGATTAGGAGGAGGAGGAGGAGGAGGAGGAGAAGGGGGAAGAAAAGAGTGAGAAAAAGGAGGAAGGGAAGAAGGGGGAGGGAGGGAGGAGGAGAGGAGGGAAGAATTGGGGAGGAGGAGGAGGAGAAAGAAGGAGGTAGAGAAGAAGGGAGAGGAGGAGGAAGAAGGAACAAAAGAGAAGGAGTAAAAGGAGGAAGGGAAGCGAAGGAGAGGAGGAAGGGAAGAGAAGGAGAGGAAGAGGAGAAAGAAGGAGGAGAAGGGAGGAGAAGAAGAAGGAAGAGAAAGAAGAAGAAGAAGAAGGAGGAGGAGGAGGAGAAAGAAGAAGGAAGAGAAAGAGAAGAAGAAGAAGGAGGAGGAGGAGGAGAAGAGAAGAAGAGAAGGAAGAAGAGAAAGAGAAGAAAGAAGGAGGGAGGAGGAGGAGGAGGAGGAGGAGGAGGAGAGAAGAAGTAGGAAGAGAAAGAGAAGAAGAAGAAGAAGGAGGAGGAGGAGGAGAAAAAATATCCTATTCTTGAAGGAAGAAAAGACCGAATTCTCACAGCAAAAGACTGATTTCTATAGAGACCGATTTCTATACATCGGACGGATTTCTGTTGCAGGTAAAAGCCGATTTCAGCAGTATGATAAGACGGATTTTTACAGCTTACCAGAGGGGAATTTCATCTGTCCGTCTGTCTGTCTGCCTGCCTGTCTGCTTATCTGTCAAATTTTCCATCTTCCCTCCTATTTCTCCCTCATTTATCTATCTATCCTTCTCTTACTCTCGCTTTTTTTCTCCCATAAATTCACGTTTGTCTCTTTACATTTCAATCTCTCTCTCTCTTTGGGGTCACTACAACACGGACAGAGAGAAATTATGAGAGACAGACAGATAGAGAGAGAGAGAGAGAGAGAGAGAGAGAGAGGGAAAGGTTTGGTTAATGACCACTATAACACGCTCGTTCTGTGGTTATGACGCACATAAAGCATACAACAAAAATTAATTCTCTCTCTCTCTTTCCCTCTATCTCTCTCTCCTTTCTATCTGTTTGTCTAATTCTTTTTCTTTATCTCTAATTCCTCTCTATCTCTCTTTCTCTCCCTCTAACCTCTCTCTACCTCTTTTTCTCCCTCTCTTTCTCTTCCTCTAATCCCTCTAACCTCTCTCTCTCTTTTTTTGTTCTTTCCTTCTTTTTATTCCTCTCTTTCTCTCGCTTTCTTTCAGTCTATCTGTTATTATGCATATATCTGTCTCTCTTAGATCAGGTTGGGTTGGGGTAGGTTGGGTTAGGTTGGGTTAGGGTCAGGTTAGGTCAGGTTGGGTTATGTTAGGTTAGGTCAGGTCAGGTCAGGTCAGGTCAGGTCAGGTCAGGTTGGGTTTATGTTAGGTTAGGTTGGGTTAGGTCAGGTGGTCAGGTCAGGTTAGGTCAGGTCTGGTCAGGTCAGGTTAGGTTATGTTGGGTTGGGTTGGGTCAGGCCAGGTCAGGTCAGGTTAGGTCAGGTCAGGTCAGGTTAGGTTAGGTTATGTTAGGTTAGGTTAGGTCAGGTCAGGTCAGGTTGGGTCAGGTCTGGTCAGGTCAGGTTAGGTTATGTTAGGTTAGGTCAGGTCAGGTCAGGTCAGGTTAGGTTAGGTTAGGTCAGGTCAGGTCAGGTCAGGTCAGGTTAGGTCAGGTCAGGTCAGGTCAGGTTAGGTTATGTTAGGGTAGGTTAGGTTAGGTTCCACCATCTCATCACCAGCAATAAAACAAGACACAAAACAAAACACACGACTCAGTACACGACCACCAGGACACAGCGTGAAGGGGAACTCCCCAGAAATTAAACCCAAACAACAACAATATGGCGGAAAAGTCAACACGGGACTGTTTATGTTTCATCAGCCCCCAACTGTATATATTAGGGGCTGGCAGTGAACCGTTAGCCCAAACTCCATTAATAGACTAACTTTAGCCTTCATGAATCGAGCCGGAGTCAGGTGTGCTGGTATTTACTGTACAGCTTCAATGATCACAGTCTGTAACTACCCTCAGGTGATTACAGTTGGATTTCATTCCTAATTAGAATCTAAGATATAAAAGTCACCCCAAAAAAGTATCTATACAAAATTATGTTGAAAAAATATGACACAATGGACGAAGGATTTTGACAACCCTACAGAGACAACAGGAGTCACAGTGTTCATTCTGGGACTCATCGATCACCCCGAGTACAGATAGTTTTTTGGAGTGAGTGATTGTACGGCTGTGTGGTAATGTGTTGTAAGGCAGTTTTTAAAATGGTGGGGTGAAGAGTATACGACCTTAAGGAAGTACAGCTGTAGTATAATGATATACATATAACCTAACCTAACCTAACCTAACCCTACCTAACCTAACCTAACCCTATCTAACCTAACCTAACCCTATCTAACCTAACCTAACCCTATCTAACCTAACCTAACCCTATCTAACCTAACCTAACCCTATCTAACCTAACCCAACCCTATCTAACCTAACCTAACCCTATCTAACCTAACCTAACCCTATCTAACCTAACCTAACCCTATCTAACCTAACCTAACCCTATCTAACCTAACCTAACCCTATCTAACCTAACCTAACCCTATCTAACCTAACCTAACCTAACCCTATCTAACCTAACCTGACCCTATCTAACCTAACCTAACCCTATCTAACCTAACCTAACCCTATCTAACCTAACCTAACCTATAAAACAATGCCTGTCACTATACTGGATTCACACTATGCAAATTAGATGAACGTTGATGCAAAAAGTTAGCTTGCAATATGAATAAATTAATCCAATCATCCAAACCCCGAGCGAACACCAGTCAAACAATACCAAACAAGCGACGTCACAATTACCATGATTTTCCTCTCTAAAAAAAACATAGAACAAACACACACACACACACACACACACTCACGCACTCACGCACTCACTCACACACACACACACAAACACACACACACACGTAAATCCCCCAATAACTCAAGAAAACAAATACTGTTAATAAATTAGGACGTGTTTTATTCTATTTAAACCTACAAACACCATCGTTTTGTTAACAAGAAAATGACCAGGAGCAAAAAAAAATGCTACGTTGTGTTTGTGTGTTTGTTGACAGATTGCAGGCTCGGCTTGTACAGATCTGGGTTAATGAATTCGCTGTAAAATCCCTCACTGCTGATTGACTTAGCTCATGTGATTAGTCAAATTTAACATATGTGTGTGTGTGTGTGTGTGTGTGTGTGTGTGTGTGTGTGTGTGTCTGTACTGTAAATATACCCAATATAATATAGTTTGTGGCTTGGCACTATCTTCTCTCTCTCCTAGGGTTACCACCTGATCGGGCACGCTAAGAGGCACTGCCAGGCTAACGGCATCTGGACCTCCGCCCCCCCTGAGTGCCGCGAGAACTGTGAGTACAACACTGACATATGTGCATAATAATAATAATGATAATAATAATAATAATAATAATAATAATAATAATAATAATATATAAATAATAATAATAATAATAATAATAATAAGATGAATATGTTATTGTTATTATTATTATTATTATTATTATTATTATTTTCCCTTCTCCTCCTCCTTTCTTCCTCTCCCTATCTTCCTTGACCTCACCTTCCTCCTCTTCTCCGTCATTCCTTTCTCCCTCCTATACACACCATTTATTTTCTTATATTATTTCCCTTTCTCATTATCTTGTTTATTGTTATTATCTTTGTCTACGTCTTTCTCCTGTTCTTTGTCCTTCATTCTCCCTTTTCCTCTTTTTCTTCCTCTATTCTTCCTCCTCCTCCTCCTCTCTCTCTCTTTTCCTCACCTCTCCTCCTCTCCCTTACGTCAGTCCTAGACATCAGAGTGGAATAGGGAAGGAAGGAAAGACAGACAGACAGAGGGAAAAAGAGAGAGAGAGAGAGAGAGAGAGAGAGAGAGAGAGAGAGAGAGAGAGAGAGAGAGCATCCGGCAGCTTCTCTAAATGTGGAAGGTTTTACTCCCACACGAGGCCTCAGCCTGATACATCCGGCCCTGGGGGATGTGAGCGAGTTTCCTACGTTCTATCATGCTCTGTTTATAATAGACAGCAGACAGACAGACAGACTGACAGACGGACTGACTGATAGATAGATAGAACGATAGATAGACAGGAATAAGTTTGAAAATATCTCTACGTTGAAAAATAGATTAATGGGTGTTTTTTAACGAAGCAGAGGGAGAGGGAAGGAGGGGGTGAGGGAGGGGTAAGGAGGGGGGTGGGGAGAGGGGAAGGAGGGGGAGGGAGGGGAAGGAGAGGGTGAGGGAGGGGAAGGAAGGGGGGTGGAGGGAGGGGGAAGGAGAGGGTGAGGGGAGGGGAAGGAAGGGGTGAGGGAGGGGGAAGGAGGGGGTGAGGGAGGGGGAAGGAGGGGGTGAAGGAGAGGGGAAGGAGGGGGTGAAGGAGAGGGGGAAGGAGGGGTGAGGGAGGGGGAAGGAGGGGGGGGTGAGGGAGAGGGGGAAGGAGGGGGGTGAGGGAGGGGGAAGGAGAGGGTGAGGGAGGGGGAAGGAGGGGGTGAAGGAGAGGGGGAAGGAGGGGGGGGGAGGAGGGGAAGGAGAGGGTGAGGGGGAAGGAAGGGGTGAGAGGGGAAGGAGAGGGTGAGGGAGGGGAAGGAAGGGGTGAGGGGAGGGGGAAGAGGAGGGGGTGAGGGAGGGGAAGGGAGGGGGGTGAAGGAGAGGGGAAGGAGGGGGTGAGGGAGAGGGGAAGGAGGGGTGAGGGGAGAGGGAAGGAGGGGGTGAGGGAGGGGGAAGGAAGGGGTGAGGGAGGGGGAAGGAGGGGTAGAGGGAGGGGGAAGGGGAGGGGTGAGGGGAGGGGGAAGGAGGGGGTGAAGGAGAGGGGAAGGAGGGGGTGAGGGAGGGGGAAGGAAGGGGGTGAGGGAGGGGGGGAAGGAGGGGTGAGGGAGGGGGGAAGGAGGGGGTGAAGGGAGAGGGGAAGGAGGGGTGGAGGGAGAGGGGAAGGAGGGGTGAGGGGAGGGGGAAGGAGAGGTGAGGGGAGGGGGAAGGGAAGGGGGGAGGGGAGGGGAGAAGGAGGGGTGAGGGGAGGGGGAAGGAGGGGGGGGGTGAAGGGAGAGGGGGAAGGAGGGGTGAAGGGAGAGGGGGAAGGGAGGGGTGAGGGAGGGGGGGAAGGAGGGGTGAAGGAGAGGGGAAGGAGGGGGTGAGGGAGGGGAAGGAGAGGGTGAGGGAGGGGGAAGGAGGGGTGAAGGGAGAGGGGGGAAGGAGGGGTGAGGGAGGGGAAGGGAGAGGGGTGAGGGGAGGGGGGAAGGGGTGAGGGGAGGGGGAAGGAGAGGTGGGAGGGGAGGGGGAAGGGGAAGGGGGGGGTGAGGGAGGGGAAGGAGGGGTGGGGAGGAGGGGGGGGGAGGGGGGGTGGAAGGAGAGGGGGGGAGGGAGGGGGGTGAAGGAGAGGGGGAAGGGAGGGGTGAGGAGAGGGAAGGAGGGGGGGTGAGGGAGGGGAAGGAAGGGGTGAGGGAGGGGAAGGAGGGGGTGGGAGGGGAGGGGGGAAGGAGGGGGGTGAGGGAGGGGAAGGAGGGGGTGAAGGAGAGGGGAAGGAGGGGTGAGGGGAGAGGGAAGGAGGGGTGAGGGGAGAGGGAAGAAGGGGGGTGAGGGAGGGGGGAAGGAGGGGGTAAAGGAGAGGGGGAAGGAAGGGGGGTGAGGGAGGGGAAGGAGGGGTGAAGGAGAGGGGGGAAGGAGGGGTGAAGGAGAGGGGGAAGGAGGGGGGGTGAGGGAGAGGGAAGGAGGGGGTGAGGGAGGGGGAAGGAAGGGGGTGAGGGGAGGGGAAGGAAGGGTGGAGAGGGAAAAGGAAGGGGGTGGGAGGGGGAAGGGAGGGGGGTGAAGGAGAGGGGAAGGAGGGGGTGGGGAGGGGAGAGGGAAGGAGGGGGGAAAAGGGGAGGGGTGAAGGAGAGGGGAAGAGAGGGGGAAGGGAGAGGTGGGAGGGAGGGGAAGGAGGGGGTGAGGGAGGGGGAAGGAGGGGAAGGAAGGAGAGGGGAAGGAGGGGTGAAGGAGAGGGGGAAGGAAGGGGGGAGAGGTTAAAGTGATTGCATCTTGTTAAACACAGTAAAAAACTCTGTGTGTGTGTGTGTGTGTGTGTGTGTGTGTGTGTGTGTGTGTGTGTGTGTTTTAAATTAGATGGTATACTAAAACAGATGTTTGGAAAAAAAAATGTTGATAGTTACGAGTTAATTAAAGCAGCTGCAGCTCGTTAAAACTCACCTTAATATTTCTGTTTATTTTTAAACTTTTGTCGCTTTTTAAAAGAGTCTGAGAGAGAGAGAGAGAGAGAGAGAGAGAGAGAGAGAGAGAGAGAGAGAGAGAGAGAGAGAGAGAGAGAGAGAGAGAGAGAGAGAGAGAGAGAGATGGACGGGTAGATACACAGACAGACAGAGACAGAGACAGACAGGCAGACACAGACAGACAGACAGACAGACAGAATTATGAAAATTAATCTGTAAAAAAGTTACCTTTAGCAACTCATAAACTCCGGAAAAAATAATTCAAAGACTATCTGAAGTTATCAAAATAGACCTGAAACTTTTACTCAACTATGCCCTGAAGTCACTTGGTAGGGTATAGTCTGTACTCAACTATGCCCTGATGCCACTTGGTAGGGTATAGTCTGTACTCAACTATGCCCTGAAGTCACTTGGTAGGGTATAGTCCTTACTCAACTATGCCCTGAAGTCACTTGGTAGGGTATAGTCTTTACTCAACTATGCCCTGAAGTCACTTGGTATAGTCTGTACTCAACTATGCCCTGAAGTCACTTGGTAGGGTATAGTCTGCACTCAACTATGCCCTGATGCCACTTGGTTACCTGAAACTAATCAACGAGTGTTACCTGAAACTAATTAACGAGTGTTACCTGAAACTAATTAACGAGTGTTACCTGAAACTAATGAAACTAATCAACGAGTGTTACCTGAAACTAATCGACGAGTGTTACCTGAAACTAATGAAACTAATCAACGAGTGTTACCTGAAACTAATCAACGAATGTTACCTGAAACTAATTAACGAGTGTTGCCTGAAACTAATCAACGAATGTTACCTGAAACTAATTAACGAGTGTTACCGAAACTAACGAGTGTTGCCTGAAACAATCAACGAATGTTACCTGAAACTAATTAACGAGTGTTACCTGAAACTAATTAACGAGTGTTACCTGAAACTAATGAACGAGGTTACCTGAAACTAATTAACGAGTGTTACCTGAAACTAATTAATTGAAAGTGTTACCTGAAACTAATTAACGAGTGTTGCCTGAAACTAATCAACGAGTGTTACCTGAAACTACTAACGAGTGTTACCTGAAACTAATCAAAGAGTGTTACTTGAAACAAATCAGCGAGTGTTACCTGAAACAAATCAACGAGTGTTACCTGAAACTAATCAACGAGTGTTACCTGAAACAAATCAACGAGTGTTACCTGAAACTAATCAACGAGTGTTACCTGAAACAAATCAACGAGTGTTACCTGAAACTAATCAACGAGTGTTACCTGAAACTAATCAACGAGTGTTACCGAAACTAATTAACGAGTGTTACCTGAAAACTAATTAACGAGTTACCTGAAACTAATCAACGAGTGTTACCTGAACTAATTAACGAGTGTTACCTGAAACTAATCAACGAGTGTTACCTGAAACTAATTAACGAGTGTTACCTGAAACTAATCAACGCGTGTTACCTGAAACTAATCAACGAGTGTTGCCTGAAACTAATCAACGAAATGTTACCTGAAACTAATTAACGAGTGTTACCTGAAACTAATAACGAGTGTTACCTGAAACTAATTTACCAGTGTTACCTGAAACTAATCAACGAGTGTCACGAAACTAATCAACGAGGTTACCTGAAACTAATCAACGAGTGTTACCTGAAACTAATCAACGAGTGTTACCTGAAACTAATCAACGAGTGTTACCTGAAACTAATCAACGAGTGTTACCTGAAACTAATTAACGAGTGTTACCTGAAACTAATTAACGAGTGTTGCCTGAAACTAATTAACGAGTGTTACCTGAAACTAATCAACGAGTGTTACCCGAAACTAATCAACGAGTGTTACCCGAAACTAATCAACGAGTGTTACCTGAAACTAATCAACGAGTGTTACCTGAAACTAATTAACGAGTGTTACCTGAAACTAATCAACGAATGTTACCTGAAACTAATTAACGAGTGTTACCTGAAACTAATTAACGAGTGTTACCTGAAACTAATTTACCAGTGTTACCTGAAACTAATCAACGAGTGTTACCTGAAACTAATCAACGAGTGTTACCTGAAACTAATCAACGAGTGTTACCTGAAACTAATCAACGAGTGTTACCTGAAACCCGATAATGACATTGACACTTCAGGTCAGGAGCCTTTTCCAACAC